GCCTTACGTAAATATATCACCAGAATGACTGACAGTTACTGTAGGAGGACCACTTATTTTGATGAAGACTCTCCTGTCCTGTACCATCTATACTGAATTCATTAGCCTCTGAATAGGTGAAATGTATTGATAGTTTTTAGGATTTTACTTTAAAATGTGTTGCTTTTCTTAACCACATCCTTCTGTATTTTAAGCCAAGCTGTTATGCTTCACCTCCAGGGACCAAACAGCATTCCTGCAGATATTGTGTTCATAGTGAGGGAGAAGATTCATCATCTGTTCAAAAGACAGCACAACGACCTCATCTATAAGGCCAGGATCTCTCTGGAGATGGTGCGTTATGTCAGGTTTTACTGCCTGCTGGATTGTTAACCTGAACAGGCTGTAATTCCTAACTTTGATTTCTGGATTGACTTCTTTTTTAATATCCATTTAAAAAATAATTTCTTTGCTTTCAACAATAATCACTCCATAGATAATGGAAGTATGAAGAAATATTGTATTTCTAAGTCTTTTTTTTCCTCCCAAAAGATAGAGAAAATACTTACATGCAAATAAAAATAAAATTTGCTTGCAACATAAAATAAATGATTGAAATAATTGTGAAGGATCCCTCAGCAAACGTCTTCCCCTCCCAGCAGGCGTTGACCGGCTGTTCTGTGGATGTGCAGACACTAGATGGCAGGCTGCTCACCATTCCTGTCAACGACATCGTGCAGTAAGTGCTTTCCTTTTATTTACTGCACTGAAGTTTGCAATGACCTCCTATTTTAGGTCAAAGATCAACATTAGACAAACTTAATATCAAAATTACTGTCGCTTCATGTCAACAGTGTGTTTTAGCAATGACATTTACTAAGAAATGTCTCATTATGATCCAGCCCTTCGTACAAAAAAGTGCTGAGTGGAGAGGGAATGCCGCTGCCCAAGGATCCTTCCCAGAGAGGAGACCTCATCATTGCCTTTGATATCTCATTTCCAGAGAAGCTCTGCCCTGAAAACAAGCGTCTGATCAAAAAAGCTCTATGCAGCAGGAGCTGAAAGCAGTTTGATTTAATGTCACAAAAAGTGGAGTAAAAAAAGTTTTATTAGGTTTGAGCTGAGAGAAAAAGGCAGCTGTGTTACAACAGCAGGAACACTTCAGTTATTATAATAAAGTTGTGCAGCTGTGATTGGCTGCCATCAAAGCCCGCTTTAGCTGCTCATATGTGACAAACATCACCACGTTCCAGGAGCCCAGCCGTAAGAATGAGGGCATGAACCTAAACCAGGAGAAAACAGAAAAACAAGATCATTTCATCACATAAAGAACAGGAAATCCCTCAGTTCAGTGAAACAGTGAAGAAACATCAGAGGTGGGTAGAGAACAGAAACGTCTCAACTAAGAGAAGCATTACTTCAGATATTTTCACTAACGTAACATTATAAGGAAGCCACCTACTAAAAAACTTAAGTGAGAATAAAATACTATTTGGTAAAAAGGAACTTAAGTACCAAGTATCGTAACTCATCATAGTTATGTACAAATTCAACCTTGAGAGAGACTCACAAGGTGCCATAGAAAGGTGACATACTAAGTTTTATTCGATTCAATTTATTTGCAAGTAACACAGTCAGATTGGTTAAAATTTACTACCAAAGGAAAACCTGCTGATTCAGCAATCCCTCACACCAAGAAAGCTTGTAGCGACAGTGGAGAGAAAAACTCCCTTTAAACAGGAGGAAACCTCCAGCAGGACCAGGCTAAATGTGAGCGGCAACCTGCTGAGCCGGACTGGGGATCTAGAACAGTGACTTGTGAAGAACTGAAAGTATAAAACCTTTAACTTAATTGTCAATGCTCAATATTTACTTTATGTTGTCCTCCTCTGGCTGTCATTATTGTTTTTGTTTGTTTTGAATATTAATATATTTTCAATGTAAAACTTTATTTTTGGTGTTGGTCTTAATTCAACTCCCAGGCTCATTACAAACCAATCTTCTAATGCTGATAACATTGTGAAGCCTAAACAACAGCAACAACAAACGTCAGGATCTGATCCAGTGTTCATGAAGACAGGAAGGACTGGTTTAAGGCATTTTTTGGAAAATGTTATAATGTTTTTTGTTGTTGCCATTTGTATAAATACACTGGTCTGATACCTTAGTACACATTTGATTTGTTTTGGTATACGTCTAATTTAAAGTTATAGCACACCCTGGAGAAAACCGCTACTGAAACCAAATGGATATAGAGGCTGCAGTTGTTCACCTGTTGTGCTATAAATAAACAGTAATGTGTTTTGTAAAGTTATTAACAACTTATGTTTTAAAATATTGACTAAAGCCCAGCATACACTGCGCAATTTTTGAGATGATTCGCCAGTCATCTGGCAAGTGTGGCAATCGGGCCGCTCTTGGCCAAGTTGTGTGTCGTGCACTGTGGAGTGTAGATGGTTTTATTTTTGATCAGGACCTGTAAATTAAATCCCATATCAAAGAGGTTTCTAGAATTTCCTTCTTTCATCTGTGGAATATTGCACAAAATAGAAATATCCTGTCCAGGGGTGATGCTGAGAAACTAGTCTTCATTATGCATCCATGCCTCCTTGCATGCTACTTTAAGGCTGAACTATTGTAATTCTTTACTATCAGGAAGTCCACAGTTAAAAGCCTTCAGCTGAGAAATCCTGCAGCCAGAGTTCTGATAAAAATGAAAAAGATCATATCATATCTCTCCTATTGTCAAGGTTTTTTAGATTCTCCAGCTCTTGTCCAAACTTGAAAAGGCCTAGCCACAACCAAAAGGATGCTGAGACAACTCAACTCAGTTTGTTTTCTTTGTCTTTTCTATTGATATTAGACCTAAACATCATTTTACAACATCAGAGGCTGCGATCATTAGCCTTTTTACAAAAAACGTTTTACCCTTTGCTTTTACTCAAGTAAAAATATTACAGTAGTGCTACTATTTTGTTTTTTCCACCCACTTCTGATAATAGATCATATAACAATGTAAAGAATTAAAGAGATCATTATAGATTAGAGATTTCTTGTGATTTTATTTTCTGTGGCTCTTTGTGTGTTTAATATCTATTTTTTTGCAATAAATCTATCAGCAGTGTCTTTGCAGTGTTTCCTTACCCCTTATAAAAGGCCAGCGGGCCCTCATTGGTTATCATAGCGCCAGCACAGCTCAGGGCTCCACTGTACTGGCCTGGAGCAGAGTTCACATATCGTGTTTTGACCACGTCCACGGGTGAAGCGATCACAGTTGTGCATAAACCTGCTCCAAAGGCCGATACAAAGTGGCAAGGCAGGTTGTCTGTGGAGTACAAGAGGTTAAGCTTCAGCTTCTGAAAACCTTCTGAAGCATGTTACCTGTAGGACTACAGGTCTCTCTTATCAAAGAATGCATGCATCTGTACTGAGAATGTGTGTAGGTCTAAATGCAGAACACTGGTACGCATAAGGTTTTTGAGATTTATCAAACCATACATGCATACACACAACAGCAAGCAAATTTTTCTCCATAAATAACACTGGTACGGACAAAGCTCTCCCTCATGCTGGGCTCTCTGCATGCCCACATTCAGCCATAAATAAATGGTCCAAGAAAAACACTGCATAAATGTAACTGTGTATTTAAATGAGCCAGCAGATCAATGATCTTTAAAAGCTGCCATGAAAACTGCAAGGAAAAGAAAAACAACAAAAAGGAAAACACAACTAAATGGAAGTATTATGAGTAAAATAAAATTTTATGAATGGAAATGGAAAGGGTCTGATTGATGGACTGCTCATATTAACAAGGACATCCAATATGGTAGACAGTATGCAGCTTAGCGCTGGCTGTGATATCAAAATATAACACATTAAATACCTGAGAATCTGGATTATCTTTAGCTTAGCTTTGATAAACTGCGGCCTAAAGCCACGGCCATTTTTCACCCATATGTAATAATCTATATGTAATTCTATTTTTTTTTCTGGAGTACCATGCACCCAGTTACTCTATATTTTTTTGCATATTGGTGTCTGGGTCCAGCACGTCAGTCTCTTAAATACTGAATCCTGTTCTGCACATATAGCGGGTGAAATAAGTATTAAACATACCACCATTTTTCTTAGTTAATATATATATCTAGAGGCACTATTGACATGACATGACATTTTCGCCAGATGTTGGTAACAATCCATTCAATCCACACATACAAAGAGATCAAACCATAGATGTCCAGAAATTAAGTTATGCGTAATAAAGTGAAATGGCCCCTTTTTAGAGCTCAGAGCAGAGAACCCAGTATTCAGACAGACAGACAGACAATGTGTCAAAAAGTGTTTATTAAAAACGACAGATCTGCAGTGAACAGCTAGGATGTCTAAGGCAGGAACCGCTGGTCTTAAAGGTCATTCTGTGACTGTATGCACGCTCACAATGCAAGACTCCACTTCTGAGGAAAAAGCATGTTGAAGGTCGTTTAAAGTTTGCTGCACAACATTTAGACAAGCCTGTGAAGTACTGGGAGAATATAGTCTGGTCAGATGAGACCAAGATTAAACTCTTTGGATGCCGTAATACACATCAGCCAAGGAAACTCTCCATTGGTTTCAGAGAAATAAAATAAAGCTTCTAAAATGGCCAAATCAATCACCTGACTGGAATCAGGAAATAAAATTTTAGGAATAGAAAATCTATGGAAAGAACTAAAGATCAGATGTCATAGAAGAGGCCCACAAAACCTTCAAGAGTGTTTGTGTGAGTGAATGGGCCAAAATCACACCTCAGTAATGCATGCAACTAATTTCTCCTTACAGAAGGCGTCTTGAAGCTGTCATTACCCACAAAGGCATTTCTACAAGTGTTTGTAAAATTTCAGGTAGTGTGTTCAATACTTTTCTCCCTGTGCCATTCCACATCATTTCACATAACTTCATTTCTGGATATCTACTGTTTGATTTCTTTGTATGTGTGGATTGAATGGATTTTTAAAAACATCTGGTAGACATGTCATCACAATTGCACCTCTAGAAATACATTTACTGAGAAAAATGGTGGCGTGTTCAATACTTGTTTCACCCGCTGTAGATCCAAGCAGGGTCTGCAGCCTGTGGATCATTGGACCTCTCAGAGAGGCTCTGGAAAAAAAAAAAAATTTTGTATAAAAGCATCATGTGGCATTAGAGGCTCTAATCGAGTTTGATTCCCGGACTCAGGGCCACACTGGCTCTGTAGACTCTAAAGGTTGCAGAGCCCTGATCTCGGGAGTATGATGAGCCATTCGTTATCAAGGGTCAAAAGTCAGCCCTGAAAACGTGTTCTGGCAGCAACGTCAGATGGGTGTCACAGCTGTATTTAAATGTTTACAGCAGTCGGTGTGAATGCCTCGCAACTTGTTCGATTTATGTATTGATCTGTGGTAACACTCACACTGGGGATCATCGGGAAGAGGAATGTGGTGATGGGGAATTTGAGCTGCTTTTAGACCTTTTATATCCATTCTACAGGTCTTCGTGTAAAGTTAGACCTATGGTTCATAATGCAGCATGAATTTCTCTGCAATATTTAATGCTTATGATAATGTCGATCTTTGATTAATGATCACATTATGCAATGTTGGGTGTCTAAGAGGACTTAGTAAGGCTTTATCTATTGTATTTTTATCAAAGAAAACGTGTTCATTGCTTGCAACAATAATACCACCCATTATTGTTGCACGTTAAGTCTATAAATTTACTCCAAAGACACATTTTCACTGCAATTTTGTTTCAAATTGATGATAATTTTGCAAAGCATGGTAAGCCAGTCTCAGGCCTTATTTTGTGTGTAAACAAGTGTGATAAATCAGGCCCAGGCCCTCTTTCTTACCAGACATGGGGGTGGACATGAGGAGGAAATCCTTGATGAAGTCATACGTCACCAGCTCTGTGCAGTTAACGATGGCATTGCGTGCAATGTTTGGACTCATCCCTGTGTGCACACACAAATATTTGCCATGAAGATTCATTTAAGACCCTTTAGACAGTATCTATGGAGTTAAGATCACCTTTCCAGAGTCCGCGCATGCCTTCCTCCTTAGCTATTGTTTTGTAAGCATCAATGGTGCCACAGTAGCGTCTTGTACCCCCTTTTGACCTGGCTTGTGCCTGAAAACGAACTTTCACCACATCCGTTGGCTGAGCAATAGCCACTGCCAGACCACCTGTGGTACAACCTGCAAGCAGCCGGCTGCCAATGCCCGCATCTGAGCCAGAAAAAAATCAGACATGAACTCTGAACTTCTTTAAATAAAGTATTTGAGTTAACAGCCACTGACGGTCAGATCCTTTGGTGTAGAAATGTTTCACAGAGTCATAGAGGCCAATACGGACAGAGGCAAAGCTCATCTGTCTCTGGAGCCCTGCTGCCAGCCCGCTGTAGAGACTCAGAAGCCCCTCTGTGCGCACCATGGTGATGATGGTACCAAACACACCTCGGTACTTTACTGCAGGAGCCTTTCCTCCCATGGCCCCAGGGATGCAGGCCTCTCCTTGGACCTGCACAGAGAATAAGAGGAAACACAGATTGACTGATACGGATTAAGAGGAGGGAAATAAATTATTAAATGATGGAGATGAACTCCAGTTTACCTGCAGCCGTACTTTGGCCGTGTCCAGAGGAAAGGTGAGCAGGTCAGCGATACACGCTGCAGCTCCCGCCCCCACAAACTTTACAGCTGCGGTTGGAGGAACTTCTGCATTTCGGAAACCAACCATTTTCTCTTTTTTCTTTGATTTTAAATTCCAATCTAAATCTGGAATAGATCAAATGTTCCTTTATTCAGTTAAAGCTGTTTATCTGGTCGACACTGCCGAACAGATTCATGTTTTATGTACTTGATGGATCTGCATAGCTTAATTTTTCTATTCATTAATGATGCACAGTTCTGTCACAAGTCCTGAGTTAACTACTGTATTAAACTTTTGAATCATTAAAAAAAAATCTTAAATTATGCCCTTAAATGGGCACAACTGTGCAATAAATGAATCTATCCATTAAGTGATAAGGATGGAAGTCTTCACTCTTACCTTTGCTGGATCAATCAGCCGGACAGAAACAGAGAAGATCAGGATTCTCAGAAAGTGTCTCTTTGGCTGAACCTTGTTCCAAACACAAACTGGCTTCCTTGTTTTCCCAAAGAAGATCTTGCAGAAATAGTGATGATTAAAATCATACTCTAAGTCCTGCCAAAGCAATCATAGGTCACCTTTAAATGTAAAAAAAAAAAGAAAAAAGAAAAAAAGAGAGAGAAGTCTTTCAAAGGAAAATCTGGTTTTACCTTTTATACGTGATCTGTTGGCATTAGGATGTGTCTGTAGGTGTGAGCGCTGGAATGGACCTCTGTATCCGAGGCAGCAAGCGGGGAAAGGTGCAGCAGTGTGGGGAGGAAAAGAGAGGGGGGCCTCTTTAAGTGCTGCTGGGATGCCGTTACATAATGGAGCAGCATTGCTCCATTAGGCTTCTCATAGAAACTACCTCTGCTGATCAATCAGGCAGAAAAGGGTGATTAACGCTGTCTGCGTATGCTTCTGTGATATGACTGGATGTGTCGGGGCAGGCTTTGCTCGTTTTTCTTTAGACCTTGTTTTTTACAGTAAGTCTGAACTTATGCAATGTAGGGAAAGCTTTTGGTTTTATTTAACAAATAAAAAAACAACAGCAGAAAAGAAAACCTATTTTTTCTTTTTGGAATCATTTGTTTGAGTCAGCCATTTGGTTATGGTGGTGTTGCATATTATTAGGTAAACGCTGAGTCATGCTGAACATACAAAAACACGGAGCACAACAGATTGGAGCCACATGTTTAGACCACTAATTATCTAACCACCACTTTTAGTCTAAACCTGTTCCAAGTCTGTTTCTCTCCGCTTCCTCTATGAATCAACTACTTTTCTGTTATCAATCTTAATTAATTCTGCGATCCCTATAGATATCTCAGAAAATTTTCCAGTTTGTCACATTAGAATCTCAAGCTTTGAGGATCAGTGGCTGGATTTTACGCAGCATATTATTATAAACTAATAGAAGCAAATTTCCACTGAAAAAAAAAAGCCAAACAAAAGGTCAAAATAATGAGTTTTACAGTCAGAATGACAATAAAAATTATGGCGAGCTTGAAAATCACTTTTGCAAGAATAAAAGTTATGTTCATGCATTTTAAGTAATAATTTTGAGTTTAAAAATCATAGTTAACCATAGTTACAAAATAAAAGTCACAATCATGAGAATAATATTCATGATTAAATAATCATAGTAATGAATTTAAAAGTAATCCTTTTTGGTTTTAAAGTAACAATCATTAAAGTCAAAATTACAAACAAAGTAATATAAATTAGCTTAAGTGTCTTATCAGCTTCACCTGGGCCACCTGCGATGTCCCTCGTTCAGCTCCAGCCAATCAACTCGAGGGCCACACCTTTTCCAAAGCCAATCATCTTGCAAGATTCCTTTCTTTTAGCTCCTGGTCCAGCTTCTCTCTCCCGAACGCAATCAAACTTTCATCCATGTCCTCAACACATCCTATGGCTTATTCCACCTCCAGTGTCCAGACCTCGGGGGAAGACTACCGGTACTCTAGTCCTTTTCTAGGTTGCTCATCCAAGCGTACAATGATTCATAGCATCGAAGTCTTCTTCCGGGGGCCCGAGCGCCAAATAACTTAATTCATTTATGTCTTTATCTGCTTCTGTCTCCTTGATAGCGGTTGGCCTCAGCAGATGGCCGCTCACACTGAGCCTGGTTCTGGTTCTGCTGGATGTTTCTTCCTGTTAAAAGGGAGTTTTTTCCTCTCCACTGTCGCTACAAGTATACTTAGTGTGAGGGATTGCAGAAAGACGATGAGTCCCCGCAATCAGCTGGTTTTCCTTAAATAGAAATGTAAAGAATATGATTGTGTTACCTGTATAAATACATTTAATATTTTCTAACTGCAACTCTTCTCCGTGTGAGTCTCTTGAGTTTGAAATGAGCATCAAAGTCATAATGTTGAGTTTTAAATGCAGAATTATGAGATATAAATGTTCCTACTGCAGCTCTGGCTGTATGTTTAAGGTCTGTTTTCTTTTCTCCATTTACCATCAGATTCACTGTCCCTACAAAATACCCGTCAACCTTTGAAAATCAGTTTTTCTTCACCATGCACCACTTGTTCTTTCAAATAAAATCTCAAATAGATTAAATAAATCGTTGATTAATGTTACATTAACATTATATTGTTCAAGGGGGTTGAAATAGAAAAACTATGTGATGTTTCCCTTTGTGACGGATGTATTTGAGTCTCCTTCGCTGTTCTGCAGACAGGCCTCTGGGCCAGCCACTGCCGTTCGACAAATATAGAAAAAGCAGACATGTGATAACTCAGGATTGTAAAGTGCAGCGTTCTGACCTGTGGTACGGGTACACGTTGTCCTACATATGTCCCTGTATGACGCTGCTGTCCCACTATTAATCCAACTAACCAGCTGTTAAAATACATCATGAAGCAAATGTTTCTTCTGTGTAACTAATCCAACAACCTTTCATCTCCAGACTTCATGTTTTTTTATGGACAGGCCTTTTTTTTGAAAGTGTTGAATCTTTTGCAGCAGATGAAACTTTTTATTTTTCACGCAATACTGGTTTTCATAGAATCAGCAGAAAATCCAAAGCCTTGCTAGTACAGTATTTTTTATTTAATAGTGCAATAATCTTTCCATTTGTTTATTACCAAGTTACAACTAAAAAACATTGATTCTGTTCCAGACAAAACCCACTTTTAGCTGCAGCTGTCTTTGACTGTGCAAAATGCTTTGATGACCCATTGACCAGCAATAAATCAAACAAGTGCTCACTTTACATTCAACAATCTACTCCTGACTGAAAAGACCCAAAGCAAAGATCAACAGTGTAAACGTTTTCAGCGATACCCATGATGAAGGTATGGCACAGATGAAATGGTCTCCATTTTCTTGGAAGGATTCTTCTAAGGATTAAGTCATCCTTATGCAACAATGTCATTGATGTGACTGGAAGGTTCAGCCTTTGTAAACATAGAACTACATCAAATAGTCTGGCGAGCAAAAATCTGCTATACTTCGATCCAATTGGAAGCACTAATCACATCAGTCCATGAAACGAGTCCTTGCGCCGCAATCTGCAAATTTTGCAGTCTTTCAGGAATGTCCCTGATTCTCCAGGCACAGAGTCCATGAGGTTCAACCTTTGACTTCACAGAGCCGATCACCAAATAACTCCTTAAGTAGGGCCTTTTTCGCCTCCAGCCTCATTGCACAGTTCTTTTCACAACTTCCTGCCACATGTCAGGACTTTAGTATGCCTGAATTTGGGTGGTTTGGGTGCCCGGCGATCTGCAGTCAGAACGGTGACTCCCAGTACTGCTGTGCTCTGGTCATTCCTCTTTTAATTTGTTCATATGTCACAAACATGACGATGTTCCAAGATCCCAGTCGCAGAAAAGATGGCATGAATCTGGAAGAAGCAAAAGAGGAGTTGTTTAGAAAGAGGTACAAAGAGGTTGTGTTATTTTTTTGTTCTCCAAAAACTGCTGGGATGTTTCTGTAACCAGAAGCCTAGTTCTGATCCATTCAGGCAGAACTAGACTAATTATTTACATTTTCAGGTGAAATTTTCAGAAAGGAGAAGTTTATTTACTCATAATAGCATTGGCCTTTTTATTGCTGTTAGTGTTAACTTACTACTTGTGCATTGAAATGTCTGAGAATGATTTAAAGGTGGAGCTAAAAGTTTAACTCCTCCCAGCCACTAGATGGCTCTCACTCTCGTTTTATGCAGGTTTCCAGCTAGTTGCCATGTCCCGTAATGCTAACCATTGCAAATATTTAACTATGCAGCTCATATGAAACACAGAAACATTTGCTTTCTTAATTCGGGACCAACAATCTAAATCTTTACTGATGTTTGTTGTTGTGTTGCATCTGTTTTTTGTTTTTTGGCTTCAATCTTAGAATTGTAATGCAGAGAAGAAGCCATTTGTGTTCTTTTTGTGTCGACTTCGGCCTTATTATTGGCCATAAATATTCTTTGGAACAGTCAAAATAAAATAAACAGTTATTTTTTATATGCTACATCCTTCTTTCAGTAAAATAATACTATTATTCTGCACCACTCTTGATGTTCTGTGAATTTATTTTTTAAATTAAATGTTTTGATGAAAAAGTTGCTACAACCTTTAACTTTTATTAGCAATGCAAGCAGATTGCATCAATTTCTCTTCATTTTGTAAAACAATAAGGCAGAAGTACTTCAGCATCATATTTACTCAAGGAAAACTTCACAGCTCTGAGAGAGAAACTGTTTCTACGTCTGTCTTTTCTGGATGTAATGTTCCTGAATCCTTTTACTCTTAGAGATGGACTAACACTGAATGCACCATGAGTTTGAAATCCATAATTAAATCAAATAAACTTTTAATAAGAGTCATTATGGAGAAATGGTTTATTATCATGTTATCAGGATAAAGGGGGTGTCCAAACACAACTGATTATCATTAAATATTTAACTAGATTTTATGAGCTTGTTGGATTTTGGTTTTGTTAAATTTCCTATTTTTCATGGAGAATTGTAAAAAATAAAATAAAATAAAGAATCAGAAAATGTTTAGTAAAGAAGCCAATGGTCAATCCTTTAAAGTTAAATTGAAACTATTTGGGGGTCGGGTTGGGGCCAGGGTTTTCTCATTAGGGCAAAGAAAAAAAATCACAACTAGAGTAAAACTTTAAAGATAAAAACCGAAAATGATTCAATATGGTTTCTGACCCAGCTCTTACGGTCATAAACTGTTTTAGTATTATTTCAACAGGACAGGGGCCAAATCAGGCGTTCAACAAGGGCACTGGCCCTTGTTGACCATCATCTAGAACCACCTAACCTTCTTCGTCAAACCGTGAACCGCCTCAGGAACAGGTTGGGATCGCCCTGACTAACGTCAGGAGATGTTGACAGAACATCACTCCTAATCTGGTTGTTTTCAAACCAGCAGTTTTTCAAATTAAGCTTTGATTTTATTGGAGCTTTTACCCTTTATAGAAAGCTGCAGGTCCTTCATTTCTCAACATGTTCAGAGCGCAGTTGATGGCACTGGCGTACTGACCATCTCCTGAGTTCATGAACCGTGTTTTGACCACGTCCACAGGAGACGCCACTATAGTGGTGCAAAAGCCGGCACCGAAGGCCGCTGTGAAGTGGCACGGCAGGTTGTCTGTGGGAGAACAGAACCAGAGTCACTTCTTGAGACAGCAGCAGTTTGATTTTTAAACATGGTTCAAAATAGCACATTTTTTCTTGTAATAAGCGTATTTTCCCTTGATTTGAGAAAGTGAGTGAATCATTTTTAAATAAACGTCTCCATTGTCGTATTTCAAGAACATCAATATCTAATCATTTTAGTCTAAGGGAAAAATACTCATCTCACTAACATCATTTAATTGATCTGCTCCAATTAAGGTCAAACACACTTATTTGAAGAAATGTGCACTTATTTGTAGATAGTTATTTGCAGTGCAGTGGTCTGGGTCCTCTGCTTACCAGTCATTAGGTCATACTTCAGGATAAGTTCTTTGATCATATCATAGGTGACCAGTTCAGCACAGTTTACGATGGCATTCCTCGTGATGTTTGGCATGCAACCTAAAAAAAAGGAAGGGGAATATTGGTCTAAACTTCTGATGTTTTTCATCTGTCGACCTTAAAAATAAAAGAGAGAGCAATACCTTTCCAAAGTCCCCGGACTCCTTCGTCTCTGGCAATCGTCTTGTAGGCATCCAGGGTGCTGTTGTATCTCCTCTCACCATCAGCCAGCCGCACCTGGGCTTGGAAACGCACCTTTACCACGTCTGTCGGTTGTGCAAAAGCCACAGCCATCGCTCCTGTGGTGCAGCCTGCCATGAGCCTGGTCACGATCCCAGCACCTTTGGAAGCATAAAGGTTAGGATCATGAAAACAGCTACAGTAGGTTCCTCATTCTCCTGATTCAAATAAATTTACTCACTCTCAGTGCCTCTGGTGTAGAACTGCTTCATTGAGTCATAAAGTCCGATCCGAACCGAGGCGAAGCTCATCTGCCTTTGGAGACCGGCCACCAGCCCGTTGTAAAGACTCCTGGCTCCTTCTGTGCGCACCATGGTGCTGATGGTGCCATACACTCCCCGGTACCTCACTGCGCCGGGTCCTTCAGGTCTCTGAGACTCACCCTGGATCTGGGTACATGATGGTATCCATGAATCATCAGCAGCACATTAAACTTAAAGATAAAACAGCATCTATACTACAAAAGATTATATAAATGTAAGTAACAATGTCATAAGCGTATTTGCCCTTCATTTGAGCAGATAAATAAGACCATCGGACAAAGATATGAGATGATTGACATTTAAAAAGGATAAAAATAACTATTATTATTATTTTTAGATGTAATTTTTGGCAGTGTATTTCAGATTCTCAAAGCAAATAGTTTTTCCCACCTCCAGGAATGACAAAAAATGTATTCATGTAATTTATAAGGATTAAGATGTTTTGAGAGCAGCAATAATAATCAGGAATGAGCTGGGTTAGAAAAATCATGTGAAGCATTGCAACAAAATATGTAAAAAATAAAATGAAATGCATTTGCCCTTAATCAGAGCAGGTAAATTAGGCAATAGTTTACATATTTTCAACTTCAAAAGAAATAATTTTATACTATGCACATGAAATAAGAAATTACAGATGTTTTTAATCTATTTTTAATTTAAATTATCTTTTTTCATTGACTAATTGTCTAACTTACGTGCTCAAATCAAATGAGAATACAGAAACTTCAAAAAAGTATTTAAATGTTTTGAGGTGTAAAATCAGTACATATCAGACGTCTCTAACCTGCAGCCTGACTTTGGCCGTATCCAGAGGAAAGGTGATGAGGTCAGCGATGCAAGCCGCCGTACCTGCTCCAAAGAACTTGATGCCCGCGGAGGGAACCATGTCACTCGCTTTCACCACAACCATCTTTATTTCTGGAATCGGTGCACAGATGGAAAAATGCACTCTTATTGCTATATGGCTTCAGTTAAACCTTCAGATGTGTCAGCAGACTTTGCGTACCTTTACAGTATAATGAAGAGAAGTTTCAGGTTTTCTTAAGAATCAGACAGGTCTTTGGGAGAAGTTCTGCTGCTGAGGAGCTTTTGGCCATAAACGTTCTCAGAGGTGAGCCTGTCAGCATACCCCTCCTCACTGAAAAGGCAATTTCAGAATCACACATATAAGTCTTTTCACTGCAAAAACCAAAATAGAGATAGACCCATGCATGGGCCAACTGATATTTCTGGCCAATATTAGCATTTGTTCCTGTATCAGCCAATAGGTGCATGCATTGGTGCTTCAAGCAGCCTTTTCTTGAGATGTTGTGGAGTGCATGTATTGCTGCGGCCCTGCTACATATTGTTAATGCTTTGTTTCATTTGCCCTTTTAGTTTAAATTTAGACATGTATAACCTATTATTGGTTCCTTTTTATCATCTAAAGCAGAAATGCCCAAAGTCAGTCCTTGAGAACCGCTGTCCTGCAGGATTGTGATGTTTCCATGTTTTAGTACAGCTGATACTGATGATAGCATTTCAGCAAGAGCCTGTTAATCACTTATCATTAAAAATCAGCTGTGCTGAAGCAGGAAACCTCTAAAACCTGCAGGACAGCAGCCCTTAGGGACCAAGTTTTGACATGCCTGATGTAAATGGAGAGGAAAAAATCAATATCGTCTCCAAGAATCAGCACAAAAATATCAGCAGCAGATATTGGGAATCGGTTTAATGTCAAAATCATCCATATCAGAATAAGCCTGGAAATACAGGCGTCAGTAGATATACTGTATGCCAAAATCAGTAAAGAATCCTCAAATTAAAAAATGTATCGTTAATCTGAGCAGGTAAAGTTGATGCTTTTACAATGGAATGAGTGTTTTTATGCAATGAAACAAAGATAAAGATTTAAATTAAGAAAAGTTTTTTCTCATTTTAAACAAAAAATTGTCTTATTTTATAGGTAAATTGTCCAACATATCTGCTCATATCCACCAAAAATACACCATAAGAAAGATTTGCTTACTTATATTTTAATTTTTGCTGTGTTGAAGCCAATTAAACTAGAATCAGCTAATTAAATTGGATATTTACCTCAATAAATATCCAAGAAGGTTTTAATCCAGTTCAAAGATGCAGCTTCCTTAGTGCCGTTAGTCCAATTAGGTGTTTTGCTCCAGGCTAGGTGCTTAGTGTGTCTCTGAGGATGAAGATGGGCCCTGAATTTATAGGATCCTCCTGCACATGACCTATGAAGATGTACACACCTGCTTTGCGACTATCATGTGTACCAGTCTGTGACACAGCAGGTTATCTGAGCTGTTGTTGATCCCAGAAGGGGAACTGATGAACATGCACAAACATTTACAACATTTTTATCTCATTTAAAGTTTTATTTGATTTTTTTTTTTTATCATGATAAAATGTTTGTCTATTATTTAAACTGGATATCCATGGTTTGGTGTTTATGGTAAATTTCCACTTTAACTGTAAACATGGCGGCTCATGTTACAGGAGTGATGTCACAGAGCGTACCCTGTTTTTCTATTGGCTTGTTTTCATAGCCTGTCCTGCTGGAAGGTGTGTCCTCTGAATGTTTTAATGGGGCACAGCCATCCGTGTGATGATGTTCGCAACCAACAAGATACTCAGATCCATTTCAGGAGACCTTTTACTCATCCCTCCTCCCAGAAAGCAAAGTTACACAACAGTCTGAGGTTAATGCTGAAATCCTGGAGACAGACCAGGGTGGGTGGAGGCAGCATCTGAGTGCAATTACTCCACCTTCTCATTCAGACAAATCAACAGGATGCTGAATGGAAAGAGTTTGAGGGAGGCAACCTTTAGGTCTTCTACTCCACTCATCATTAGGTCAAGTTCATAATTCAAGTTTTTCTGTACCAGCCTTTGTTTACCACTGCCAGGTGCTTTTCTCTGCTTTATTTTCCTATGTTTTTTTCATGCTCTACAAATAACCTGTAATACCTAGAAAGGAGGAAGGCTTGTGAGCTGCAGGGTTAGAACGTCCGGCATGCCCGCTAACTTTCCACAGCAGCTGCAAACCCAGGGACCTCATTAAACTCACATTAAAATCCAAACCTGACAAACTGCAAAAACTATGTGAACTTTTCACACCCTTTCAAATGTTTTCACCTTAAAAACTCAAAATTTAATGTATTCGACTGATATGGCAGACTAATCACCAACCCTCCATTAGAGAGGATTGGTGAATGGAGTAAGAACCAAAAGCATATGGAGTGAAGTTTGTTCCATTATTCTTACAAGCAGAGAATATATTTTGTAAATAGAAATTTCAAAAAAAAATTTCAGAAATGAAAATAAGAAAAATTTTGTAATCAAACAACTTTTTTAATTATCTTTTCAAAATTTTAGTTTTTCAAATTTCTCTTTTTCAAATTGCATTTTAAAGATCTCAGTTTCTTCACTTCAAGCCCAATGCAAAAGTTGTTGTAAGTTCTTAAGATTAATCTGCAAACAAGATCCATTCTCAAAGTTTCATTCCTGGATAGACTTTTTTTTTAATTTCCATTTACAAAATCTGTTGTTTTTTTGCAACAATAATGCAACAAAATTCACTCCATGGCCTTTTTAATCTATCATCTGGACATTGGAATAG